AGTGTGTTTTTAGAGGTTTTGATGCAATGCACAAACTAATAACTTTTGAAGTTCATCCTTTCCTTGTAGAACTCACAAAAACTATTTGTGGATTAAAACAAATGCTTCTCAAGATTAATCCTATTTGCTTAAAGCTTTTTGTATAAAAACCTTTGATTAGGCAAAATACAAGAAATGGAAACTACATTTCTTTATGCCAGGTTTGTGTTCCTCTTGGCCAGACATTTCAGTGCAACCCTGATCTAACAGGAATTTTAAGCTTGGTGCAAAGCCATGGGATGTCAGCTCCAACCAGATCCTATCATCTCCAACTCATTCTGAATTGACTCTCTTTGAGAATCACGTGATGATCATTGTTTTAAATTCCTGATACTATATCTCTGCAAAAGTGAGAATTGAAACACACCTCCAAAAAATAGGCCATCCCTTTGAGAAAAGTGAAATGAACTCCTGAGATATGCATGTGACATAAATATGCATGAGCAATTTCTGTAGAATGTAAGCTCTACAAAAGACGGTGGTTTTTTAGCTTTTAGGAAACATTTCTGTGTGAATTAACAACTGTCAAAGTGGCATGGTTGAAAAGATTTTCCTACTGTAGAGAGATGAAGCTTCGACTCTTCAAACAACTTGGCTTATCTGGAGAACCAAGTTGAGACATAGTTGTTTTAGAGCCCTCTAAACTCGGCAAAGTACCTGCAGAGGTTCTTTACGAATTCTTTTGATATTGTCTTGTCTTAAAGAGTGCCAGACTCTTTTCACACTTCAGAAGTGTGAGAGTTTTGCTTATCTTGGAGGGTAAAGAACCCGGGAGATAAAGAGAGATAGAAATAATAATGACAAAAAAAAGCCTGTGCAAAAAACCTGTGCGCTACTCTAGAAAATGGATAGATGTGTGTTTGATGCGATGGCATCACTACTTTATTCTACTTTCAGAATCTAATTTTGTCCAGCACTATGTAAAATTTTCAGACTTTTTTTACAACTCCTATAGAGTCTTTCCCTTATGCAGAGCAGCTTCCTCTTGGCACCCTTGCTGTGTGCATAGGCACTGTGCCCCCTTTTCCAGTGCACTGATCAACATTAGTGTTTGGTGCCCATTTCTGGCAATCAACAGCCCTCTATCACTGGTTAGTCAGAGTTAAGCTGGTGGAAGTTTGGAAGAGGCTTCTGAGGTGATCAAGTTCCTGTTTTAAAACAAAGCTGGAAATTGCAGATTGGATGAGATTCGCTCCATTCAGCTTTGCTGCCATATCATGAAGAAAGAAGCCTGGTCTTCACTTGGAAATTTTCCAGATTCACATTTGGACTGAGCTGATCTTTAATATCAAAGTTTTAAGCTGGTGGTGGGGAAATGAAAGTGGGGAGAAGAAAAGAATTTTTAGCATGACTATGGCTTTCAGCTTCTACACTCTAATAAGTCTAATTCCAGATAGAGGAGTTCTGGAGAAGTCAGGCTCTGGAGAAGCATTGGCACAACTGATCAATTGCTGGCAAAAACTGAAATAGAAGTGCAGCATCTAGAATATGCATTCCCTTCTGCATTGGGGTCTGTAGAAGTATTTTACTGACACAATCTGCTGCCAGCAAGACACCAAGTGGGCTGTGTCGCTGCCTGTTTTGGTTCTTAGCATTCTGAAATGGGAGTAGAAAGGTTTAAACAAAGTAGACAATTTATCAGAGGCATAATGGTTTTTTTATTTGTTTTGTGTCTGGGGCCAAGCATTATTGTTCCTGGATAAACTGAGATTCTAGTGGCACCTGGTGACTGATAGGGGAGTGACTTGGAGTTCTTTCTGAGATGTTTTTTTAAGTTTGAGGTCTTTCAGTGTATGAAACTTCTGGCTGTCCAGGAAATGCTTTATTGGACAGTATCAGCTTTGGTACATTCCTTCTTCTTACGGTGAGGTAATGAATTATGTACATATGGACCAAACTTCTGGTTGTAGTGGTATTTTTCTGCGCTCAGCATGTTTTGGCTCCTGATTACAAAGAAATACTTGAACTATTCTAGGGTGTTATTGTGGAAGAACTGGCTGACTTGGTACAATCATTCAGTCATTGTGAATGTACAGTCATTGAAGAGGCTCAGGGTGCACTTCTAATCAACAGAAGCAGGCTTTTGTTAAACACTTGTTTTTCTTCTCATGCTTATTTTCTGGAATCTCTTCAGTGGTGTTGGCTCCTGAAGATGTTCACGTTTCTCTTCTGAATTCCCAGCCTTGTGAGCAGGATATAGGATGTGGTGAGACTTCACTCAGCAGGCACAGCCCCAGTGTCGTTAGTTGTCTGCTCCTCTCCCATCTCTCTTTCTTACAGTTTGAATGTTATCTATTTTTAACATGTAAGAACTAGTACTTCCATGCCAAGGAGACAGTGGGTATGTTGCTACAACTGTCTGACTCTGGAACTTCTGTTTTTCAAGATCACATGTGCTGCAGTCAGGTAGTATCAAAAATTTTTCTTCTTCAGATCTTTTATGAAAGTGGTCTCGTGTTATGAACCAGACTTTATGAATTGAAAATGTTATATTCTTGCATGCTTTTGTGATGAAAGTAGTAAAGTTAGCACTACAGCTGATCCAGTCAGTGCTTCCACTTGGATCAAAATAGGAATGGTCACAGATACTTTGTTATTCTTCTAGATCTGTTAATCTGGCATCTTTCTGGAGCACTAAGTCCACATTTTGCCTGACACATACCTTGGCTCAAAAGTATTTGATTGTTTTAGGATAGGTTGTTAGATTTCAGAAATGTGTGTGCTGGTACTTTTATTTCTCTTTCTCTACTTCTTCATTCTTGAATGTACTTGGTTCCTCCTCAGGGAACAAGTAACTTCATGGAATCATGATGTCGCAGGAGATGCTATACCTCAGTCTCTGAAAATCCAACGGAAAAATAGTAATTTTTATGTGTTACAGATCAACCTCCCATTTAAGTCTGGCAGTTTGTTTTCTTTCGTCAGGATGGTAGTTCTTCCTTACTGCTACTGAGAAATAGCTTCACTTCTGTTAGAGAATGATTCATTACCATGTGGTTTGCATTTGTAGGAAGCCAGTCTTGTAGAGACCACATTCCTGATGCTTGTTTGTTTTACAGACTCAAATGCAGATGTTTTCCTTGTACAAACAAGTCAGAGGTGTCTGTCTGGGTCTGCCAGGCTGGGGGCTTAAGATAACAACCAGGCTGGCAGTGGCACTTGATCTGTGCAGACTGTGTGTGTTGGCAGCAGCAGCCCTGTGTGCCATGCTCCATCTCATCACAGGCTTCTGTGTCGGGAGGGAGGGAGGGAGGGCAGCACTGCCTGGCAGCCTTTGTTTTCAAGGGGTCACATCACATCTGGTCAAGTTGAGGAAGGTAATATGGCAGATCTTGCACAGCGTGAGCTAATGTTGCGGTTCTTCTAGAAAAAGGATTATTCGTACATTGAAAATTTTATTACTGGGATTTCTTAGTGGCCAGCAAAGTGGGCACATCAGAATGTAGAGATGGATAAGAGTCAATTAAACACCCTGTCTGCATTGTATATAGGGGCTGCAGTGGTTTAGCTCCCTGAACCAACGCTGAAAACGTCCAGCGCTGACAAATGCCAGTGCAGGACTGGGGCAGTATCATGTGGCAGCAATAGGTCAGTTGTGTTGTGAAGCTGCACCTCTTCAGCAGGGTGGACTTGGAAGAGTAATGACTGTGCTGCCCCTAGATTTGCAGAACCTGAGTGTTTTGTAGGAAGAGTGACCATTGCTTGTTTTTCCTTCCAGGATTGTATTGGTGTTGCTGTGTATCTGTGTTACAAGTACATCCAATCCTGTGAATCACTTGTAGCAGGATTCAAGAAGGCTTATGGCATTTCAGCTGATGATTGGGACTGACAGTTTCTCTAGGGGAAAAAAAGCACAACTCTTCCTGTACCTAGGACAGAAGGAGTTGTATTTTCTATGTGCATAGTAAAAACGCTTTGGTGATAGTTCATCTTGGAGTGCAGGAGGCAGAGCCCTTTTAATGTCAGAGAGTGTTTGAATGTAGAGTGTGCAGACTCTGAACTTGCCCAGGTGCTTCCTAGCATGGAGAGCAATGAGGAGACATGGATCATGAGCCTTCTGAATTCCCCTGGAAGAGCTGTATTTGCAAGACACCTGCTTTGTTTGGACTCCAGGGCCTGATAAAGGCATGAAGGGGTCAAGGGGCAGGTTGAAGGTCCAGCAGCTCAGCAGATGTCTGTGATCTTGTTGGGTACAAGGCTTTTTGTGCAAGCAGATAAGTCCCTTTTCTTCTGAAATAAACTAATACATAGAAGTGAAGGAGAACTTGTTTGCTTGTGCCCTTGTAGCATGACTTTAAATGTCATGTTGCAGCATTCTGGAGGGTGCTCGGGCTAGCGCGGACTGTGCTGGTGCTTGCCAAGAGTCCACGTAATGCAAGCAGCTCTGCATGGAAGCAGTCCCTGTCACAGTAGCTCTCTATCTTCCTATTCCAATCCAGTATGTAACTTCTCTGCAGTGAAGGGCTGGGAAAATGTTTTGTGTTTTCCCCATACCCTTTGCTGCCACAGCATCCCTGTGATTGCAACCTGTTGCTGCTTCTCCAGCTCAGTAAGTGGTATCTGTCTGCCCTGAGGTTCTGACTTTGCACATTTAATGAGGATCCTGCTCCCAGTCTGATCTGGGTCTCCCAAGTGGTGACCACAGTGAGGACTCAATGTGGGGCTTCCATGAGCAGTTAAGATAATCCAGTGAATTCTCGATTCCTTCCTCTCTGTACTGTCGTAACTAAGTATGTGAGTTAGTTGGGGTACATCCACGCTTCATTCCAACTTTTATATTGCAGATGTACTGGCTGTGAGCATCGTACCTGGCAGTTTAATGTGAATTGAGTATCACTGGGATATTGTACTGAGTTTGTACAACGTAGTTTTAAATGAAAATCATAGCCCTAAGCAGAGGTGTGGCTTCAAAATGTCCCAAACTTGACTTTTTTTTTTGTTTCCTTTTATTTTCCACTTAGGTATCACATGCTGTTGCAAAGCTAGTATTAGTTAGTTTCCACTGGCAAATCTCAGAGATTTTGGAAAGGTAAGTGTAAATAGTCTTATCTCTTTTGTGCTCAGTGCTTTTTTCCCTGGCTTTGCAGAAATGCTCAGGGTGCTCCATAGGTGTTTTTGACAAGTATCTTTGGACCTGAAAGCAGGACATGTGGTCCATTCCAGAGAGCAGAGGAAAAGCACTGATTTGTTGAGGCTGCACTGCCTGCAAGAAATTTGTAAACAGGGAGAGGGGAGTGGTGGTGAATGTCTTTCAGTTTGAGGAATTACTGTTATGCTTGGAACCCTGTAGATGCATTTATCTTAAATTTTGAGATAACAGATTGAGAGTACTGCATCTATTTTTATTTAACAAATAAAAAGATAACATATGTTCTGCTTTGAACATAGAAGCCATAAGTCATAAAGGAGCACCGAACCTATGCTGATGTGGTCTTTAGCAGTACATCCACATTGAAGTTTTTGCTCCTTCTGACTTAAGTGATGTTTTTTTCCCAAGCTGATTAGTATTTGGAGAGCGGGAGAAGATGGTGTGAGAGAACTGAGAACTGCAGCCCCCTTGCTTGATCAGTGTCACTGTAACAGTCCTCCAACTGATTTCAGAAGCAGGGTTCAGACTCTGCCCAAACATATGCGGGAAGTGTATCCAGAGGCACTGCTGGCTGGCAGCCCCTTCACTAAATACTGGCTCAGAACTAAACATTGTCTGAAAATAGAGAGAACATCAGCGTGACTCATTCTGCCATGCCATTTTTGGCCCTGTAGCCAGCAACTTCATCCAGAGAACGTATGGAAAATGCATCTCGTGTATGGATGTTGTTGCAGCATCTTTGGTAACTGTCTCATTGGTTGCCTGAAAGCTTTTCTCTGGAGGACAAAGAGGGTGAGATTCCCACAGAGCAGCTCAGGGTGATCCTGCAGATTAACTAGTGAGATTTAAACAGGAGGAAATTTGGGGAAGAGTTTATTTCCAAAGCTATGACTTTGCAAGTTGTTCTCTGGCTGATCTAGTCCTCAGACTTCTGTCTTGGTACAGTGACATTATCAAATGAAAGCTTGTTAGTACAACTAAGAAGTGCTAATGAGCAGGGGGGACTTACAGCATGGCCACTATAGTGATGCTGCTATTTCTGAGTTCATTGATATAAACATTCCTCTGCAAGGGAAATCACAAACAGCAAAATGTGTTTAATTCTAAGGCTGCTGATAGACAGCTTCATACGCTTAAGGGGTGCTAATCTCTCACTGAGGAAATACTTAACTAGATAATAAACTGGAGTTAAAGTGAGACTTAACCAGGCTAGCTTGATTTTACAAAGGAATAAGAGACAGACAGGAGCCTCACTGGAGTGTATTATTGTGGACAGTGCTTAGGACTGCTCTAGGAGTGTGGATAGAAAATATTAGCTTCAAAAATAAATGTTGTGAAAAAATAATCACCAAGAAGGATAAGGAAAATGTTAATCCATTACCAGGAGAAGTATTATTCCTGTTTTTGAAGAAACTATCATAAAGTTTCGATGAGAGCTCAGCTCTCTATATGAGAGAGCCTCACACAGGACACATTTCAAATTTCCATGTTGAAACCTACCCTACCATTTGCACAGAGCCAATTATTTATTCAGGCAACAAGGATCAATTTAATAATGCCGAGTGTATTCAGAAACTGATTTGATCATTCTTTAATTGCCTTTTCAGGCACAAATCTAATGCTGCCCAGTTGCTAGTAGAAGCACGAGTTCAGCCCACCTCATCCAAACATGTAAGTATGATAACTATCTCAGTCTGTTCCCTTGGCAGACACTTCTGACCCCCCTCATGGGGGATTGCATTACTAATGGCATAGTCTGTCCCATGTTAACCCTTTGCAAACTCAGGTCTGATACCCTAATTCAGTGCTGAGTGTACCTTTTAATGAGAATGCCTTCAAGAGATATCTAATATTTAAATAGCTGCTTTGCTATTGACTTCCAGGTAGTGTTCAAGAATTACTTTCTTCAAGAAAATTAGGATCATTTTTTGACTTGAGTGATGGTACACAATGGAAGGAGCACAGTGAACGGGCTTGGCTGCCTCTTCCAATTCTGTTCTCTGTAAAAGACACTCAAGGGAAGTTTTGGCTGCACAGAGTGAACAGAGCTTGTCTGTGGCTGGAATAGAGATTTTTTTTTTAATTATTTTTTTTTTACCCTGCAGTGCTCAGCTTAGGGATGGTTAAGCCGAGTCTCCCAGTGAGTGGTGTTGCTACTGAGCCAGTCAGTACTGATATGTAACCAACAACTTGTGTTTTGCAGCCAGGGCTACACAGGTCTTCAGATATTTCCCCCCACCCCCTTTAAATAGAAACATCCTGTCGCATGTTACAGATTTCATTCGCGGTGGGTGTCTTGGTGCAATGCACAGTTACCCCAAGAACACATTGCTATGTGTCAGATTTTGAGTGATAAAATACTACATCTGGGAAACACACGTTGGGCTGGGGGGGAGGGGAGATTTTAAAAGCCTGGTCTGGCATCTGAGTTGTCTTGTAACTAGCAGACAGTGAAAATACTAAAAGAGCTGACAGGAGTGACTCAAAATAAATTATCTGCCTAGAGTCCAGAAAAAAAAAATCTTTGTTATTTGACATACCTGCAAATTAGTCCATATATTTTCAGATATGTCTGAATCTTTTGTCAGCTCTCACTTAAGTACCCCCCACTGCGATGGTAATTTCATTTTGGGCAGAAAGATATGGTTAAAAGGTTGATTTGAGTCTTCACAAACTTGGTTTGTTAGGCAATTCACTACAGTCTATTTGTGTGTGCTAGGGCAAGCTGCTCTGTGCTTTGGCTTCCAGTGCAGAATAATGATATTTTGGGGGCAGATGCTCATAGTGAGTGTCTGTAGAGGGACTGACTCCACAGGGAGAAGCTTTAGTGAGCTCAGAGAGGCAGCTTGTGAGGGTTTGAGGTAGCACTTGTGCTGTTCAGGGTGAGCAGCTGATCCAGGCGATCAGTGCAGTTTCAGACTCAGTGAATCTTGTTCTGGTCAATAAGTGAGGCCACTTAGAACAGTCATATTATTTCCTTTTTCACGTGGCCATGCCATAAATCAAGCTGTGTCAGTCATGTGGCTGCATATTGTGCTGCTGCTCCTCCATGTCTCTGGCATACAGAGCTTGGCATGGAAACCGATGGCAGTCTCACACCAGCTTCTCAACAAGTGGCAAAGGTTTCAGTAGACAAAAAGTGATTATATGGCTTCTCTGTGAAAGGAGAAATTGGAACATAAGCTCCTGCTAACAGCTTCGTAGAGCCTTGTTTTTGATGAAGCTGTGCTAGACCTGGTTCTGCAGGTCCCAGGGGTGAGCAGAGATGTATTGAAGGCTGGATCTGTTGTCTGGGGATTAGCTCTGCACTACCCAGGGGGAGACCAGACTGCTTCTCAGTGGTTTGGTGAAGCAATAGCAGAGTTATGCCTGATTTGAAACAAAGCTTCTTAATCCTTTTCATCTGAAGGGATGATGCCTGCTTTGCCAAATGTAGCATTGGCAGAAGAGAAGAGATAGAAAATGATAGTCTGAGAATTCCCTTTCCTTTCTGTATGAACACTTTACATGCTACACTTTCAATTGCCTCTCCTGTTACCCAGAATTGTTGTCCAGTAAAAGGACATTGCTAAGCCTGCTTCCAGCTATAGCTTCTCTCCAAAGCCTGTGGAACAGTGATAGTCTGGTCCAGCTAACAAAGAATATCAGTAAATCCAGGGAATGCCTAATAAAAGGATGTATTTCTTCATTTTTCAAAGAAGACGAGAGTAAGAACCAGAAGAGTAAAGGTGAGTTCTGGATAGCACTAGTTGAGAAGCAGGAACAGTTCAGTACTGTCAGCCTGTTGTGTTATGAGTTTAAAGAGGTTTTTGAGAAGGACTGACTGTTTGGGGCAGTGCAGCACCTCAGCACACCAGCTGCTTATGAATCAGTTCTGGCCTGGAGCTCCCCTGAGATGTTGTCACAGCGAAGATGAATGCAGTTGTCTGTGGATGAGGTGAAAACACTCTGGGAGAGCTGGGATGCTTTCACTGTAATGCTGATTTGTGTCTCTCCCAGGCAATGGTACATTCCTCCCACCACTGCGCGGTGTGCATGCAGTTTGTCCGGAAGGAGAACTTGCTCTCTCTGGCTTGTCAGCACCAGTTCTGTCGCAGCTGCTGGGAGCAGCACTGTACAGTGCTCGTCAAGGATGGTGTTGGAGTCGGTGAGTTCAAGGTGGACACGGTGCTGGGTCCATATTTGCCATGCTGGCCATTCTGATGAGTCAAGAACATGACTGTAACAAGTTAGAAGCTGCAAATCTGCTGCACCTTGAGTTTGCATCTGTGATGATGTACTGTTGCAATGCCCCTGGAGTGCTTGTAGATGCAAACATCTGTTCCCTTTGTCTTGGGTAGAAGCCAGTAGTTGCCAGAGTTGCTTTGGGCTTTTTGTAGCCTGTCTTTCATGCTGGCATGGCAGTAGCTTACAATTTGCTGATTTAAATGTCTGACCTTGTGAATACTGATTGAAGCACTTACTGGTTCTGGGTACACATGCACCCTGTCATCTTTTGCTACAGACAGTTGGGCGTCAGCTTTTCAGCAGCCCCTGATTTGTTTCACAGTTGTGTCCCTCTTGCCACAACAACAGATGGCACCTAGGAAACTGTTGAATGCTCTCTGTGCATTCACTCCTTGGAATAAGCTGCACTGTGCTAAGATGTTGCTTTCTTTTCTTAGGGGTCTCCTGCATGGCTCAGGACTGCCTACTTCGGACACCAGAAGACTTTGTGTTCCCATTGCTGCCTAGTGAAGAGCTGAAAGACAAATACAGGCGCTACCTCTTCAGGGACTATGTGGAGGTAGTGGGTTTTTTCATTTTTAGGATACCCTGGCTCAAATCACCAATGACTTGCAGAAATTTTGTTTCAAGTGTCTTGCATTTTTGATTAGAACTGCAGTAACTGCAGCAAAATTGTCCTCAATAGACATGATGTGGCAGCTCCTGTAGGACAACCTCACTGGCAAAATGCTCTAGCAAGTTGCCAAAGTAAATTCTGCTGTAAGGTCACCCAGTAACTCCTTGGCTGGTGCTTCAGAATTCTCAGAGTGTTGCAGCTGAGAATTTCAAAACTTTGATCTGATTTTTCAAGTCCTTCTTGTTCTTACATAAATATTTTTAGGTTCTGAAAAATAGGTCCCTCATCTTAGTGTAGCCCAGCTGAATTGACTTGCTCAATTACATTTTGTATGAGGTATTTTGAAATTAAAGCAGCAGTTGTTAAGGCTAAATGTGCAGGAGTGTTCTGGTGACTGGCAACACTCAAGAAGCAGCGATGCAGTATGAAAGAGTGGTGTCACCTCTCCTCAATAAAGATACCCTTTGGGAAGGAATGGCCACCACAGAAGAGCAACTAAATAGCCTCTGTGAGATAAGGAGAGGATGGGAAAAGAGCTCAAATGGAGTAAAATTGTTTGTTCCTGTTGACTGTTAGTGGTGTCTTAATGGTTGTATTGCTGTGCTGACTTGGTCTGTAACCCTCCATTTGAATTACGTGTTCTAGAGAAGCTGTAAGTAACTAATAAATGTCTTCAGTAACTAATAAATTAGGAAAAGGAGGATCTGTTCTGTTAGCCAAGACCTGGTGACAGTTGTCAGTCTTTTTCAATAAGAAATAACTGACTTGTATGGTTTTGAGGATAGGAGTGTTTAAAGTTGAACAGATTTCTTCTGCACCCACTGCTGATCTTACCCCCTTGGTGTGCCCACAGAGCCATTACCAGCTGCAGCTGTGTCCTGGTGCAGATTGCCCTATGGTCATACAGGTACAAGAGCCAAAAGCCCGGCGAGTGCAGTGCAATCGTTGCAATGAGGTCTTCTGGTAAGGAACAGAGAAGGTTAAAAATCATGGGGGGAAGTGTGTGCTGTCCTCAGAGCTGCTCCTTTTGCTTGCCAACAGCTTTGGTGTGTAGAAGCATGTTCAATGCTTTGCTAGAGTTGTTTGTAACTTGAGTTAGCTTGAGTAATTGGACACTTGGGGTCTGACTTCTGCAGGTGGTCAGACGTCCCCTCGCTCCCTAAACTCCTTGGAAGTTGGGTTTCTGGCAACCAGGGAATGCAGGGCTTGAATAATCAAGGGGTTACAAATCTAACATTCTCACATTTTGGCTTGGTTACAAATTTTCCTCCAGACATAGTGACTGATAGAGATTCTGGTAGTGAACATGGAGTCCTCCCTACTACCTGCTGGTATTAAGATTTTAAGTTTATTACAAGAGTTTGACTCCCAGAGTGTCTGGGAGACATGTTTTGAGACTCATGTGAGAACACATTTCTGCTGAACAGGAATGCTAATGTTCCTTGTCTGACAGAAGTGGATGTAGGACCAGAGAAAAAAGGTAGTTTGCAGAGCTGCTGAAGTGTCTTCTGCTCCTGGGTCTCTAGAATCACTGCTGAGAATGTCTGTGGAGCATAATGCAAACAGTTTAGAGAACCAGCTTACTGGTATCTCCATGCAAATGGTCCTTACTCACCTGGGGCTGTCAGGTCATGTTAATGCGAGTACCTGATATCTGCCACTAGAGTCAAGCTACTTGTAAGTCACTGGTGTGCCCCAGGCCTCTACAGTCATGTTAGAGGAAACATAGGTTCTAGGTAGGGACATGTCAGCCCTCAGACACATGACATGTCAGAGAAAGCCTCAGTTCACTTTCCTCTTGACTCTGGTTTCTGCACAAGAGGGTGGGGGAGATGTTCAGCCTTGGTCTTTGCACTCTGGTAATACACAAGAGCATTTGCATCCCTTACTGGGCCTCCCAGATTTTGGTCAGGAAAACCTCAATCCTTGAGTCACTTCCTTGGAAATCGATGTGTCTTTCTCTTTTTTTTCTCCCCCCCATTAAGCTTTAAGTGTCGGCAGATGTACCACGCGCCCACGGACTGCGCTACCATCCGGAAATGGCTCACCAAGTGTGCGGATGACTCTGAAACAGCCAACTACATCAGTGCTCACACTAAAGATGTAAGGCCAAGCACCTGCATGTTATTTCTTGTCCTCTAGCCCTGCCTGGGAAGCAGGATGCAATTCTATACATACATAGCATTGTGTTCTGCTTTTTCACGGGCTGCAAATTCTCACAGCTCCCTAGGGACTGTCAAGAAGCTTCTGTCAGAAGCTACTGTCATATGTGAACTAATTATGTTCCTATGCCTGTGATATAACAACTGAGTGCCTTGGGAATGCTTTGTATAGGAAGCCCAGCTGCCCTTCTGCAGTAAGGACCTGGTGATCTTTATTCCAGACCTGGTGTGAATGTCTTTGGCAGCCAGGTGTGCTGTCCTCCCACAGGCAAAAGAATTGTGACTACTTTGAAATGATCAGTGGAGATGTGTTTAAAATGGAAGGAGAGGGTGTAGTAAGTGTGAAATCAGTATCAAATAAGGCATCAGGGGTGCTTAAGCCTGAATAATTGTGGAGTACTGTGAACTGGAAGGTGAGGGAGATAAAGTCATGATTTGTCAAGCACAGCAAAATGAGGTAGTTGAACTCTGTAAATTAGGCATGAGAGTATTTCTAGTAGATTTAGATCCAAGACAAAAAATAGTTTACACATTATGCACTCTAGCCTACCTATAGAATTGACTTTAAAATTTATAGATATACTACCTTTATCCTCTAAATTAGCTGTCCGAGATTTGAACTTTTAATGTCTTGGGGATTTTGTGGCCTGACTTCAAAACAGTTCTTAGCTGGCATTTGAGCTACCATGGCCAGTGACAATTGTGACAGTGCTGATTAGCCTGTCTAACAGGAGAAGGTGTCAGCATGTGATGGCAGTTTCTGCTATCCTCACTTGTAGAAATAAGGTTCTGTTATATCAAGCATTCTTCTGGCATACATTTTGCCTGACGTGAAAATTTATGAAAAGCAGCAAAACTCACTTCTTCCATTGTACCTGTGCAGGCCAAAAAATGTAGCTGGACTCTCTAGGGTATCTGTGCAGTAAGGATGTGTGCAGCTCTCTATGGTCAGCTAAAGTCTCTACCCCTAGCTGAGTTGTCATCTGTAAGTGGCTGCTGAAGGCAGGATATAGTGTCGATTACCTGCAGTCCAAGTAGCTGTGGAATCTACTGTAATACATGAACTAATTATGTCCCTGTGCCTGAGCAAGTGTTAAGTGGTAACTCAGCAAGACCTCCAGTCTTACAAGGAGTAACAACAGCAAATTTGTTTTCTTGAGCAAATAGTTCAGTGCTGCAGTGTAACTTCCCTGGCTTTGCCTTTCTATCTTCTTTTAAATGGAGCTATCAGGAATAGATGGGAGGCAAAGTATAAATGTTAATATTCTCATATATGTGTATGCATATGTAAAAAAAAAAAAAAACGGCAGAGAGGAATAATCACACAAGTGCTGTCATTCTTCAGAAGGCTGCTAGAGACAGTTGGATCTAACAATTGCTTCTGTTTCCTCAGTGTCCCAAGTGCAATATCTGTATTGAAAAGAATGGAGGCTGCAATCACATGGTGAGCAATTCCCTGAACACGTCAAACCTCCCTTGTTCTAAGCAGAATTTCCCCCCCCCACTTTGCACTAACTAGTGCTTCTTGTCTCTTCTTTTTCAGCAATGTTCCAAATGCAAGCATGGTGAGTTGGATTTGGAAGCAGTTTTCTCTGCAATGTTTGTCAGTGGTGATGGTCTCTTCTCTTTTTTTGTGATAGGAAAACAAATTTTGAACATTCACTGAAATATTTTCCCCCTAGTAAAAGGTGAACAGGACATTAGTTACAGACTTCTGTGTGATAGTTTTTTTCCCCACTGGCTGTGATCTCAGCTGGGTTCTGATTCAGTGCTGGTTTGGCTCCTGCCCCTGACATGTCCATTGTATAGAGAAGTCTCCAGAATATTAACAGTGGAATCCATCTCAGAAGAGAGTATTAAATGCTTTCCATGGAATTGTTTTTGTCATCAGCTGAAAATACTGTCAGAACTGAGCGATTTACTCAGATGAGCTTTTCTTCTGCTTACTGATGGAAATAATGAGCTTCAATCTAGATGAAACTGCAGGGGCTGTGAATTTTTATACGTAGCTGTTGGACTTCTCAGTCCGCTCCTGTTCAATTAACAGCCTGAGTGTCTTTGGCTCATTGTGTGGTCCTACAAAATGACAGCCTGTTCTTGTACTTACTTTTTCATGGCAGAATTAATTTCTGTTGCCTTGTAGCGAGACAGTTGTATTCAGCCCTCTGAGTTAAGTGTGCCACTAGAAACTGTTACACTATCAGAACCTTATTGGGAAGATGATTAAAGATTACTGTCCTCTCTCGTTTCCTTTGCTCTGGGGTTCTCAGCAGCACTGGACGTGCTTTGATGGAGCTCTGTGACAAGGGTGAGCAGGCAAGTGCCACGGTACCATGGGAGCTAGCTGGTGAAAGCTGGTGAACTCTGGAAATGCAGACTTCTATTTCTTTACCATGAGTAACACAGAAGTGATTCTTATTGTAGCAACTTAATCTCCATCTTTTTTCCTTCCCAGTAGAACACCCACAGCCTCGCTCTGAAATCAGAAAATTGTCACGTGGGTTTTGCTGTTGCTCTCTTTTCTTCGCTTTCTTCCCAATTCAGCAGCTTCTAACTTTGTGTTATAAACCCCTGACATCTGACATTACCTGGGTAGTTCCCTTCTGAAGAGAACTGAGGGCAGACTTTCTTTTGCATGAGTTAGTTCACTTTTGGATGTGACTGTTTATGTTTTGTTTAGACAGAGGTTTGCATGGGGCAGTGGGCCATGGTGGGGAGGAGGCAACTCACAAAAAAGACTGCAGCCTGCCTCTTCTTTAACTTGGAGTGACAGCCTGTGCAGGGTGCAAGTACGATTCTGTCCAGTGGTCTTGGTGTACAGGATGCAGAACTTCAGGATTTACTTTCCACAGTTGCATGGGAGGCCGTACAATTAAAATCTTCAAGGCAGGCTGGTATTTTTGGCTCACTGTTGAGTTCTGTTATGTAAGATGATACAAAATGTGTATGTTTCTTGGCTTAGCAGAAATATCTGAAAACAGATGGACTGTGTCTCCTGAAGCTTTTCTTTCTCAGAGGTTTTTTTCTGTGCCTCACAGTGGTTTTTTTTGCTGTTTTCTGCAGACTTCTGCTGGATGTGTCTGGGAGACTGGAAGACTCACGGCAGCGAGTACTACGAATGCAGTCGGTACAAAGAGAATCCTGATATTGTAAACCAGAGTCAGCAAGCACAGGCCAGGGAGGCCCTTAAGAAGTACTTGTTCTATTTTGAGAGGGTAGGAGACATCTCCTTGGCCAGAGCTGCTGTAGCCTTTTAATGCTCCCTGCCTGGTGCAAAGGTCATTGCCAGCAATCTCCGTGCAAGAAACTGCCCAGAGAGAACCTGTGCAGAATTTTCAGGCTCTGTTCTTCACTCAAAATCCTGCCCTGTGAATCCCATTCAAACCTATAATGTCATATCTAAAGAAAATCATATTTGTCCTATATTCCCCTGTGCTAGAGAAAATCAGTATTACTTGTATGCCACTGTATCATTTACCTGCAAGCTGAGTGCTGCTGCAGTAGATAGATATTGCTCCAATCATTTCCTTCCAGGACCGGGGAACTTCAGTTCCTTGAAATCTGTCTTTATAGAGAAAAAGAACTAAATAAACTCTGCCATGTTCAAAGCTCCATGTGCTCTAGCAAAGTTTTATTAAAATTTCATGTAATCACATTTTTAAAAGTTGCATCTCTGTCCACTCAGCAGTCTCCATGCACCTGGCCATGCAGAGCAACTCTACAGCAGCATCTGTAGAAGAGAGTGTGGTAGAGGTTAAATACTGGTGCATTTCAGTTTCCCCATTAAAATGAGTTTATTCTTCACAGCATGAGCCAAGTCCTGTGGTAAAATAAATATGTTCATTCCTGGTTCTTCAGAACAACAGGCTTTGGGAAATAGCCATGTTTACAATGTGCACATGGAAGTTGGATTTCACTGAGCCTGTGTTAAATGTTAATTTAAACTCTTAACCTTTCTATAGAAATCCTTTAAGTAGGGGAATCGCCATGTCTTTCCATCTTGTTAGGCACAAGGTCGCTGTGTGACCAGAGGGCATTCCCACTCGGAGGAGCTGGGATTGCTCCCTGCTCTTTGCTGCTGTCAGTCTGTTTACAGCCTCTGCCACTTGCTACTGGAGGTGCTGCCTTGCCGTTCTTTCCCACAGCATGTCTTGCCTTGCTGGACTCCTGCCCCACTCCAATTTCTGCTTGCTAGAGCTTGTGCTTTTACAGCAGTAGTACTCTGTTCTCATGCCATTTTTTCTTTCCCTGTCTCCCCACCCCTTGCAGTGGGAGAATCACAATAAAAGCCTACAGCTGGAGGCACAGACATACCAACGAATCCAGGAGAAAATCCAAGAAAGAGTTATGAACAACTTGGGGACATGGATAGACTGGCAATACCTACAAAATGCTGCAAAACTACTTGCAAAGGTGGGTAATTGTGTCTTGTTTGGCGCAGAGAAAATACAGACCAGAATGCTAAATTCATAGTACTGATTAAGGAAGGAAGTTTAAGGGTTGTGGGTATGTGGGGTAGTGCCTCTAGTCTAGGACATGAACTAGCCAAAAATCATCTGGTATTGTGAAGTTATGTTTCACAGTGTACAGAGCTGCACAAGTTCTTCCAAGGAAGGTGTAGGAAATTCCACCATGAAGTGTCCAATTGTCCTTGTTAGGAGGTAGCTTCTTAGCCTGTAGTGACCACACAAATGTGACTCTGCTGACTTCCAAGTCTGAGACTCTTGTCCTTTTCTCTCTCTTCCTTCCACACTTGGGCAGTGTCGTTACACCCTGCAGTACACATATCCATATGCCTACTACATGGAGTCTGGTCCCAGAAAGAAGCTGGTAAGATGTTTTGCCTTTTTTTTTGCTGATAAATTTTTGAGGTGTAGCTGGCAGCATGCTGGGCTGAATTCCAGAGCCTGGCAGTATCTGAAATATTAGTCCTGAGTTTGAGGTAAGGACAGGACAAATAGGCATTTTTGCACCTTCCCTCTTCACTTTGAGTTGACCAGCAGCTCTGTCATCTGATGCATTACATTATTTTCCCAGGGGACTTCACTGCACTTTCACTAACAAGCCATTTATCCAGAATGTTTTGAGGCTGGGAGTGTGCGTTTGTTCCTTGGTAAGATTTATCACAGTGCTATGGGCCATATTTCATATGAAGAGCTGCTGGAGGAGAGCTTTTCTAGCCTTGGATCAGGGTGTAGCTTTGCTTTTTATTCCCGCTGTAAGTTCCTTTGTTGCTTGGTACATCTCATGGACTGGACATGTACAAAAATAACCCTGAATTCACTGAAGAGTTTTTTCTTAGACTCGGCTGTTCTGTAAAACCTGTTGTAGAATCTCTCCTCATGGGATCATGTGTTCTCTGAGGCTGTGGAGAGATGTTCTTTTCTGGATCTGACTGTGCCAGTGGAACAAGTTGCTGCTCCCAGCAGCGGTTAACAATCCCTCCACTCTGCCTGCAGAGCTGCTCATGGAAGTGTCTTCTGACCTGTTTATGGCAAAATGAGCTGAGCTAGGAGATACTTGTCACTTGCCGTGTTTTTAGGCTGACTGGGTTAATTTTGAGTGATACAGGTTGGGGAGTGCTTACACAAGAAACTCCCAGAAGGGGTGATGCTGTGTAGCTGAAGGTGGATAAGGAGGAGACGCAAACCTGCTCTGCCAGCAGAGCTGTCAGCAAAACACATTTGTCTGCTCCTCAAGTGTGGTGTGTGGTATGAAACTGCTCCACTAAACTAGTTTCTTGTTGCTGTCTCTAATTTTGCTCCTTGCAGTTTGAATACCAGCAGGCCCAGCTGGAAGCTGAAATTGAAAATCTCTCATGGAAGGTGGAGCGAGCAGACAGCTATGACAGAGGGGTGAGTGTTCTGCTTGCTTGAGCCTGCTGGCCAGATTTTGTTTGCTGGGCTTAACACTTCTGCAGGAGCACTGAGGTATTCAAGTGAGAGTTCTGAGAAACTAGATCCAGAAACCACCCTTAGGCAGCAGATGTTGTAGAAGCGGAGTGCTCACTGCTTATGGAAGGGGAGGGCGGGCTGCAGGGAATCCTGCAAAGTGAGATGGGACATACAGAGCTCTGGAAGAGGCTCCAGGTATCCCTCTGGTGAAGAGCAGATACCTTAAGTGTGTAGTGGTTTAGGGAGAGCAGGAGCCAGGCAACTGCAGAGGGAGCCCACATCCCCAGATCCAGCAAGAGGATCTGGGATCTTGTGATCCAGAGTGCGTGTGAAGTGTGACAGTTGGTGCTTCTCACGTGGAGTGTAGTGTCTCCCTGAGGAAAATGAGCTCTTCTCCGGAAAATGTGTGCTGACAGTTTGTACCTTCTGTTTTACCAGGACTTAGAGAATCAGATGCACATAGCAGAGCAGAGACGGAGGACCCTGCTGAAAGACTTCCACGACACATAAGACAGGAGGAAGTGACGAAGTGCAGGGGTGAGAGCAGCGAGTGAAGTGATGGCAGCTTCACTGGGATAAGCAGGCACTGCCTCTGGGAGAACACGGCCAAGGACAAAGCCACCCCTCCCCTTGCAAGTCAGACACATGCAAACACCACATCTTAGTCCAGTTTGTTCTCTTATCTTTCTGTTTCTGTTTCTGCCAGGCTAGAGGCCAGAGCTCAGATTGGCATATTTCCTGGGCCATTTCCCTCCTGCCTTTGATGGTTTCAGAAGGGGAGGGAGTTTTTCTCTGAATGGCTGTTAATAGTATTAGATCGTTACAGTTTATGTAATTTTCAACGGTTGTACAATTATACAGACAAACCTTAGAATAACACACAACCCTTTTTAAAAATAAATTGGCAGTGGAGTGTTTTTCCTTAATCTGCTTGTAAATTTAATGGGCTTTTCCCCCTCTCCCTTCCTCTGACCCAAAAATCCTCCTAGGCTCTGAAGGAGGTTACAAAATATCTCAGCTAGATTTCCCGATGCTCCTTTAACCAGGGCATTGTAGCATTGGCATTGCATGAGGAGAGTGGCTGGTGTTAAGGGTGGCTGCTGCTGTGTCTGGCCCTACAGTACCAGCAGTGGCTGTTATTCAGTATGATTACATGTGACATCTCTTGTCTTGTAAATCAGCTGTGCAAAATCCAGCTACACAAACAGAAGCAAACAGGAATTTCAAGGGACAGACCAGGTTAACACTGGAGGATATGCCTTGAGTTTGAGAGAAATTGAGAGAAATCATATTCTGCGTTTGATGGATTTTAGGTCTTCCATGTAGATTTTTGCTTTACTTGTTTTTGTGGAGAGGATGTTGTATTGCCAAAGCGAATGATGAGGGACTAGTAGCATACAGTTGTTAATCAAGGCTTGGGGCTTTTGCAGAGTGAAAGAATCCATGTTATAACAGTGCCATGCAGCCTGGTAAAGATTATTTGTGCCTCCTGGGTAGCATGGCTCAGAAAATTTGATTTCGTTCATTAAAATGAGACTGAATACCACTACATTATGAGGAGGAAAGATTATGTACAACACACTCCCTGGCACGTGTTGGCAATGTGGACGGGCACTTGAATTCAGGTGCATTACTTGTGCAGAGCCTGCACAAAGCCAGGCAGAAAATTAACTAGCAAAATTAATTTATTTGTATATTAGTATTGATGCTGGTGGGGACTTATCAGAAAATTGATTGTTAGGAGCATGTGGAGCTTTTTTTATTAACATTCTTTTTTCTAATGTAAAATATACACTAAAATAAAAATATGAAAACCTAGTTCATCTTAGTAGGGGTTAACATGAAAAAGATTGCTTAGATGCTGATCCTTGCCTTTCTGCTACAGGAAGCAGGCCACATGTTAGGATTTCACTGGCATGTGTGTCACCTGCACCAGAGCTTGTTGTTTGCAGCCAAAAAGGTGCAGCCGGAGTCTGATCTGAGGAAATCTTCACCTCTGTGGGGAACTCACTTCCATGCTGTATGTGGAAGTGTTGCCTTTGATCTATCCCCGTATTGTTCTTATGCAATGTGACTTGATAAAGATTAAACTGGAGGGGGGAAAAGTGCTAAATTTCTGCATGTCAGAATAAGCTCACTCCACTGTTGGAGCCTCTTTCTTGTGCCTGAGACACATAATCCAGGTATTTGCAGCAGGTATAATTGGGCTGATGGATTTTATCAAGTGATGCATCAGTTTAAAAAAGGAGTAGCTGCCATAGGAACTAATTCTGTCGACCTGCTTGTTGTACACAGCAGAAAATTTCAAACTGAGAGGCCTTTTCCTTCCTCCCTTCCTTCCCTGGTGTGGGATGTATCATCAGGGAACAGGGGAACATACTGTGAGGAGTGGGGTTACAACAGAAGAGGCTGAGGGTAGGGAAGGGTTTTGGAGAGATGCCCCAGGGAGTGGGGCAGGGAAGGGAGTCTGGTTTCTGGGAGCAGTGCTGCTTGCTGTGCAAGAGATCTCCATAGCCATGGCTCCTTGTGTTCCAGCTCTGTCCTGTTCTGGCTCCCCTCGAGGCTGGAGCCGTAGAGGTAGATATGTCCTTGCTCCAGCCACTGTCTCCTGACTTCATTCCCTCTGCACCCAGCAGCAGCCTCTTTGTGCCCTCCTCTATATTCTAGAAGTCAGTCTCTTCCTTCCTCTCCCAAATGATTGTCAGAGTCGGGGCAGGCTGCACCCACAGTAAAGGTTTGCTGAGACCCCAGCGGTTTGCAGTGCATAGAACCCATGTTTAAACTGTTCTTTAAAAATGTAATGTGCAAAGTACTGATTAGGATAAAAGCTGGTGTTCTTGTTGTCAAACGTAACTATCTTAATACCTAATCTCTTTGCAGAACAGATATGTGGAGTTCCCTAATCCCAAAGAATTATCACTTCTGTTACATAATTGTCCAGCTTTGAGCTAGATGAGAATGGGGTTTTGTCTCTCTCCCTCCCTGCCTCCTTCCCTCCCTCCCTCTCCCATGCCCCCACAAAATGCTTTGCTATGAATCCTTGTTTGTTGACAAGCCAGGCTGTATAGCTGTGGCGAGACTTGCTGAACAGGCTGCTGAGATGCTTGGCTGAGGAATAGTAATAAGGATTGCACAGTGCACCCCCTAATTCTTTCAAATTTTCTGAAACTAGAACTTTGTCAACAGTTCCATTTATTTTTAAACAAAACAAAACACCCTTTCTGAAGGTGGTGAAAGTCCTGGGTTGCAAGCACAGATCCTGTTGCTGTACTCTGGGAAAACAACAGGACTTGCTTTTGCAGCCCAGGCAGGGCGACTTCTGTATTGGTGTCGTACAGGAAGTCGTGGACTCCAGGACAAAACCTGCAGAGCACAGGGGCTGCTGGCTTCACGTGTAAGGTGGCTGACAAAGCTCAAGAGGCAGGTGACGGGAGGGAAACAGGTTCTCAACACCCGAAGACAAGGCCAGTTTCTTCCCCTCTAATAGGTACATGGCCCTCTTTGAGTCAGCAAGGTTACATGGATGTAGGTGAATAGAAAGTGGCTCAGGAGCCATTAATCCTGAGGTACAAATTTCCCTTTGATGTGTTACTGCTACAGACGTGGAATGTTTGCTCTCTTTTTTCTTTTTTGCACTTGTTTCCAGCTCCTGCGCCAGCCCAGCGCCTCTCCATCCTTGCATCCGGCACTCTTTTATTTCGGCTTCGCTTGTGTTGGTGCATTGGCTGCCTCATCTCTGATAGTCCTCAGGCTTCCCAGACTGTAACAGAACGTTTTCTACTGATACCATAAACTGCATGACTGCTGCCCTGGGCGCGGTGAAGGTGCCGTGTCTGCCCGCGGGTGGGGCAGCAGGAGGTTTCTGTACTATAGTCTTGCACTCTAAATTTTAGACTTTTTAAGCAGGTGAAAAAAAAATAGAACTTTATTTTTAAATGAGGCACTTGTTCTGGGAATTCCTTTCCTGGCCCCGATCTGGTTGGGGTTGTTGGGCTGTGTGTCTGGGGGGTTCGGTGCTGCTGCCACCCCTCGCTTTTCTTCGCAGGCACCGGAGAGGGGCAGGGGCGGCGGAAACCGCCCGGGAGACGGTTGCCAGAGGTGTGCCCATGGTTTATTTGAAATAAATCGTGACTTTCTAACTTCGGCGGTGTCCTGGCTCTCCTTGGCAGCGGGATGGGGCCGGGGTGGAAGGGGGTGTGGCTGCTGTCGCTGTCCCCGCCCCGCGCTGCCGCAGCGCCCGCCGGGCCGTTGCCGCGGTGACGCGGGGCCGGCCGGGCCGGGGCGATGGCGGCGGCGGAGGCGCGGGCCGAGGGTCCCCCGCTGCCCGGCCCGCCGGGGGGCCGCCCGCGGCCCGTCTGCTCCCGGCCCTACTTCCTCGTCCTCATGGTCTTCGCGCACCTCTACGTGCTCAACGTGCTGGGGCTGCTGCTCTTCGTGCACCTCAGCGCCGGCGAGCCCGGCGGGCCGCCCGCCGCCCCCGCGCCGCCGCCGCCGCCGCCGCCCGCCCGCGCCCTCCCGCGCCTCGAGGGCATCAAGGCAAGGCTGCGACCCGGGGGCCGGGGCCGGGGCCGCTCCTGGGGCCGCTGCTGACGGCTGCTCTCCCCGCAGGTGGGCCACACGCAGCGGGTGGAGCTGGTGCCCGGCAGGGCCCACAATGTGCGCACCCTGAGCCTCAAGCCGCTGCTCTTCGGTGAGTACCGGCCCCGCCGGGGGCAGCGGCCGAGCCTGGCCCCGGGCGTGCCGGTGGCGGGGGTTTGCGCTGCCCGCGCTGCCCTGACGGGGGAGGGAGGGGGGTGTGTGTGTGTGTGTCTGACACCCGCCGCTGCCTTACACCCACTCGGGGGGAAGCGACTTCTCGCGTGTTTGCATCACCTCCCTGTGCTGCTGCTCCTGGGGGCTGCGTTAAAAACGCTGTGGTTTCGTTTAAGGTATTTTGATACGGTATTTCCCGTATGGATACGGAATTACTTGTTGTGGATGGTCCGCTTTGAAGAATTTGGAAGATTAACCTTTCCAGGTTTTTCAGATTCCCTTTAAAATACCCGGAATAGACAGCTGGCGAGGACCTCGAAGAAGCTGTGCAGTATTAGGAAGGGGCAAGAGATACCCAAACTTTTGGTAATAAATTATGAAAAAGCAATTTAGTGTTGGTGCTTCAGCACTGAGGAAATGAGTAACAGGGGAATTGATAGATTTCATGTCTTCCACCATTTTGCATCCTGTTCCAGATTTATTTTTGGCTGCTCTGATACACAACCACACAACATCCGTCTCTGAGATATTTTAAAACCTTCTTTACCTTTCTGTGATTTTTTTTGCTATGACTGGTAAAGTCTCATTAATTGAACTCCGTGTTCGGGAAATCCACTGAGAATATTCAAATTAATTTTGGGGGGGACAGATCATTACAAAATTTCTGCTACTGCAAAGTCAGAGAAAACCTGTTGTCTCTGAAAAGACAGCATTTTTCAGATGCTTTCTCAATAATATAAATAGAGGGTTCTTTTCTGATTCCAGAGAGATTATATACACTGAAAGCCTGACCATAGGTTTCTTATTAAACTCCGTTAATGCAGTAAGTATCTGGAAAAACTATACAAAGTTCTTTTGTTATTTCTACATAGGTGGTACTCATGGTTTGCCAATTTCTTGGTGGATTTCTGTCTGACATTCAGGAAACAGATACACCAACCTGGAACTGATACCCCACAGCATCACAAAACCAGTGTCAGTACCAGAACCTCAGTCTGGGGCAATCAATCTGGTTTTCACTCAGGAGAACTTCTGTTTCCACCTTCCCTGCCCCACCAGTACCACTGCAGTGAAAGAGTTGGTCCTGGCCTGCAGGGAAGATGCTGAAGGTGATAAAAGGCAGGTTAGTCCTGGCAGCAGCAGTCCCACAGTTTTTTGCTTGTTGTTCCAGCACCTCCATTGGTTCTGAGGGAAGCTTTGCTCCCTGAGGATGCCATCACACAGCGACAGACATTCACCATTTGAGATGCCACAAGAGCCTGTTCTCCTTTGTCCTCTGATAAGGACTCCCTTATTTAGAAGCTGCAAGTTGCAAGACAGCTCTTATCTCTTGGATGAACCTGCCAGGAGCCAACTCTGACTTTAAAAGACTTTCAGAGACTTCTCTATCTATGCAAACAGTACCAATCTAATTCAGCTGGTTTTTAAAAAACTAATTTATTTCATCTCTGTTGCTTAAATTAGTGGAAGTGTGTCTTTAACTTGGTTGCATTTGATAAACGCAGAAGTCCTTAGCAAAGACTGTTGCGTTCCTGGGGATTTAAGACGAAGTGCTGTGGCATATGAGAGCCAATTTAAGGAAGCTGGTCTGTGATCCTTGCTTTCAGCAGAGCAGACTGCAGTGGGACCACAGCAGCAGACACCCATTAATGATTTAATGTGAGCTCTGGGCTTTGGGGCATGGGCTGGGCACCGTAGGGGAACTTGCGGTTTGTTTTTTAAATGTGAGTAAGTCACATCTGCATCAAACCGAAGCTTTCATTTCATGGAGCTATGAAAAAATGCCTGCCCTATTTTTTTTCCCCCTCTGGCTACAAGGCATCATTTCTAAAGCTTGTAAGTCAGACCATCTGTGCACTTTTTAGTTGGGAAACACTAGTAATCAAATAACCCTATTAATGGAAAATAAATCAGACAAAACCTTTTCAACCTTCAGAGCTTTTATGTGTTCAGTTGTGTTTTCCAGACGCAGTCTGTTCAGAAGATACTGCCGTTGCAGGGACCACCTGACAGCAGATTCTGTGGATTGGGCAGCAGTTTGTAAGACAAGGCAGTGGGGAGGAATA